TCAACGACAATCAATTCCTTTTCTGCTTCAGCTGTTAATTCTCTGGAACTTTTTAAGTCTTTGTTACCATCTAAGGTTTTGTTTAAATGAACTATTAGATCAGGTGTTATCCCAACAGCTGGTCATAGATTGGAAATGTCTCCTAACAATCTTTGAAAGTCATTAAGAATCCACAATCAATCTCTCCTAATTTGTGCCTTTTGTGTTCTAATTTTTTTCATTTTTTTCTTTTTCTTTTCTTTTTTTTTCCAAGACAAGGTTTCTTTATAGATTTGGTGCCTGACCTGGAACTAGCTCTTGTAGACCAGGCTGGCCTCAAACTCATAGAGATCCGCCTGCCTCTGCCTCCCGAGTGCTGGGATTAAAGGCGTGCGCCACCACCACCCAGCTCGTGTTCTAATTTTCTGTAAACCCATTTTATAACCTAGGTAATTAACAGAATCTCCTCTCTGTACTTTTTTCAGGAGCAAATTGTAATCCCCATTTTGGCAAAACTTTCTTTACTTCTTCAAGCATTCTTTCTAAAGTATATATGTTTGAATCAGATAGCAAAATGTCATCCATGTAATGGTAAATTATAGATTTATGAAATTTTTACATATTATTTCCAATGGCTGACTTACAGAGTATTGGCAAAAGATGGGGATATTGAGATACAGTCTACTAGTATCTCCTAGTAGGCTGAGAATTATTGTAAATAGACACTGTGAAGGCATATTTTTCTCTGTCCTTTCCTTGTAAAGAAATAGTGAAGAAACAATCTTTTAAATCAATAACTATAAGAGGCCAGAGAAACTCCAGATTGTAGAGTGCCCATAGGTTGAATTACCTTGTTGACAGCTCTTAGATCTGTCACCATTCTCCATTTACCAGATTTCTTTTTAACAACAAATACAGGAGAATTCAAAGGGCTGGCTGATTCTTCAATATGGTAAGCATCGGGTTGCTCCTATACCACCTGTTCTAAAGCCTGCAGTTTTTCTTCTGTTAACAGCCACTGTTTAACCTATATTGGCTTCTCAGTTAACCATTTTAAAGATAGGGCCATTGGTACCTCTAAAGGCTTGCTAGTTGCTTTGGCATTTTCAAAAGCCAGAGATTCAATAAGTACTCATCTAGCGTCTATGTCTGCTACTCCCATTTGTACAGCCTTAGTTAATCTTTGTAAAAAGTCACTAAAGGTTTCTCTCTGGCCCTGTTTAAGCCTGGTATATGATTAAATTCATTTTCCTGGTTCTTGAATTCTGTACCAAGCATTTAAGACTGCTTTGTAGCATAGGGACAAGATTTGATCACCACAAAGAGTTTGAGCCTGTGGGTCAGTATAAGTGCCCTCACCAAGAATTTGATCTTGGAAAGTCTCAAGTCCTTTTGCTTTTCCCTGTTCTAAGATTTTAGCCTCTTCCCTGAAATAACATTTAAACATAAGTTGAGGCCCATTATCCAGGACTACTGAAACTAGCTGGAGCGAATCATACAGCATCGCTTTAATGCTGGACGCCCATGTCTTTATCATCTCCCTAACATACAGAATGCAAGCCATAAGTTATTACTGCTTGCTTAATTTCTTTTAGATCATTCATTCCTATAGGTATCCATCTACCTTCTTTGGATACTTTTGGGTCTTTAGAACTTGATTCTTTGTCAGAGTAGATTACAGGGTAGGAAGCTAAAACCCTGGGTTAAGTCATCTCTGGAAGCTACTGGAGATGTTGAATCCTGTCCTTGTACCCCCTTTCCCTGCTCATCAGCTCCAATGATTTCCTTAATCATTTCAAATCTTTTTGCTACTATCTTTTGTAAGGCCTGAATCTATTGGCCTGTATATTATTTCTAGTGATTTCATTGAGGCAGCTAGCCTCTGTTTCTCATTCTGCACATGTGATCCCAAGGTCTGAAGTTTTTTCTTTAAAGCTAACATCTCATCCTTGGGCATTATTTGGATAGCATGCAGATTGCCTTCCTGGAGAGATATTCTATCTGCTAACTTTTTAACAAATTTTGATTTGTCAAATTTAACAGTATGAATTCTTTCAGATAATTCCTCAGTACCCTTTGACATGGATTCAATTTTGTCTGTCAAATTAATGTTACCCTTTTCTGATGTAGGAGAGTCTTATGTATTTCTGTTGCTTTCATTGGCTAATTAATAAAGAAACTGCTTGGCCTGATAGGTCAGAACATAGGTGGGTGGAGTAGACAGAACAGAATGCTGGGAAGAAGGGAAGTGAAGTAGTCGCCATGACTCTCCTCTCCAAGACAGCCTTAGGTTAGAATCCTCCCAGTAAGCCACCACCTCGTGGTGCTACACAGATTAGAAATGGGTTAATCAAGATGTGAGAGTTAGCCAATAAGAGGCTGAAACTAATGGGCCAAGCAGTGTTTAAAAGAATACAGTTTTCGTGTAATTATTTCAGGTAAAGCTAGCCGGGAGCAGGGACACAACCCTCCGTTCCTTTTACACTTTTCAATAGTATTATTTTTTTCAGGTAACTTTTGATTTTCAATGGTATTAATCCTGTCAGCTAGCTGTTGTTAGTCTGGAAAGACTGTATCATTTCTAAAAGTGTGTAATTCTTGGCTCTGTTATCAAACCATTTTCTTAAGGATACAATATGAAGAAAAAAACTGACTTCCAATATTCAATAAATGGATGTATCACAATAACCATATAAGCCTTGCAGAATACATACATACCATAGTATTAGCAAAAAAGTTACTAAAATTCTCTATGGTAATATTGTCTGCCATTATATAACTTTTGAGTTTATTGACTTTTTTTAATTAATAAAATAGTTACCTGGTATGAGGTCCAGCAAATTGTTTTAGGTGTAATATTTATCGTCCAGCAGGTGTCGTTGTTGCAGAATCGCCACTAGCGATGGTGCAACTGTTGGTGATGCAAAGGTCCTGAGCTGCTTTTTTTTTTTTTTTTCCCTTGGTGCTGGTTAAATATTGAGAAATATGCTTTGCTTTACAAATTCAAAGCAATTAAATCAATTCTGTACACAGAACAAGAATCCCAGAACTCACGGGCAGGGAGCACAAACCAGAAGCTGCACAAGACACCACATGGCAGGAAACACGGCAATGGGGTAAGGGGAATTGTGTGCAGGCTTGGGAAATTTCCAAGTCGCTGCATGCAGTTAGCTCCGCGGTGGTGGGAGTTTTACAAAAACTGCTTAGTAGGTAAAGGCAAGTGGGCAGGGTGGGAAATTTTCTGGGCTATGGACTGGTTAGGCCTTTAAGCCGGTTCACCCGGTGGGTGTGGAGTTCGGATCCACATGGGGCGCCAGATGAAGGATGCTAAAAAGAAATCCCACACTAGCTCAGAATTGAGTATAATGAGGAGTTATTTATTTAGAGGTAGACTCACAGATCACAATTCTCTGCACAAACAAGGAACAGGAAACGAATCACACTGCCGTAAAAGGACAGATGCGCACTTTACGTCAGCATATATAGTACAAGAGGTCATGCCCAAGTGGGTGGGTAACTTAAAGGCTACTGGCTGTAGGAATTCCTACAGCACTCCCAAAAATGATATTTGGAAATGTCTTAGAGTTTCTAGTGTTGTGAAGAGACGCTATGACCATGGCAACTCTCATAAAGGAAAACATTTATTTGGAGCTAGCTTACAGTTTCAGAGGTTTAGTCTATTATCTTCACGGCAAGACATGATGGCATGCAGGCAGACATGGTGCTAGAGGAGTTAAGGGTTTTGTATCTTGATCTGCAGGCAGCAGGAAGTGAACTACTGAGCATAGCTTGAACAAACCCATCCCCATAGTGACACACTTCCTCCAACAAGGCCACACCTCCTAGTAGTGCCACTTTCTATGGCCAAGCATTTAAACACACAAGTCTATGAGGCCAACCTATTCAAACCACCCCAGATGTGTTCTTTGCATGTTAATTCAGTTATGGCAGAGCCCTCCGGAATGGGTTGAGTGTCTGGAAGACAGACATGGTGTGAGGACAGATAGTGTCTTTCTATAAGCTGGGAAGAGAACCCTTGCCAGACACTGACTGCATCTGCTGCTGCCTTCTTCTTGGATGGTTCAGCCTCCTGAAGTGTGAAAAATGTTTACACTACCTAGTCTGTTTTTGTTATAGCAGCATATTATGAGCTACAATTATACAGTTTGGCCAAAATGCTGCATTGGTGAGCCACAAGTGAGTCTTTAACCACTGACTCTTTATTTAAGCCACTTGCAGTAAGAGTCCCAGCATGCGTGCAGGTCTGCAGAACAGCATTCTCCCTGACTGTGCTAGAATACTGCTACCTCAGCGTGGAACAGCAGCAAGCTTCCTGAGCTGCAGTGCTGAGAGGCATTTCGTTCTCACCATCACCACTTCCCAAGCAAGCATGTTTGAAAGTGCACTGTTTGAATTCCTGCCAAGGCCTGGCCACATACACTTTTTTCAGTGCATTAGTAATAAACTTAAGAAATTAGGGTTATCTTTTGGAAAGACTCACTTAGCAAGAAGTCTTTTTCTTAGTACAGAAGTCTTTTTCTCCCTAGTAATAAGGTTGAAATTGTTAGAAGAATTCGGTAGGCTTCCCATTTGGTGATTATAGTACTGATCATTAGAAACAGGTCCTCCTAAATGCCTGTGACCCACCTTTTGATATCTGGTCTTTCTCTTGTACTTACAATTCTCTGAAATATGTGTGTATATGTGTGTGTGTCAATATATATATTTTGAGACAAATTTCTTTGTGTAGTCCTGGCTGTCCTAGAACTTGCTCTGTAGACTAGGCTGACCTTGAAATCACAGAGATTTGTCTGCCTCTGCCTCTTGAGTGCTTGGATTAAAGGTGTGAGCAACCACTGCTGGTTCTGTATTTTTCTTTCCCACACTTAGAACCATAGAAACTGTCTGGCTTACAGTCTGTACAGAACCATGTGTACCCTTGGCTCAGCATGCATGTTCACTGTGCATTTACAAGACCTCCTCTTCAATGCCTTTTATATGAAAGAACTTGCCACACAGAATTTTCCATATTAAACAGCGTTTTATTTCGGTCTGTGATTTGTTTAAACTGTTCACACTATCCATTCCATCCCAAAAAGAAACAAAGCACTTCTAGTCGTGTAGCACTTGACATCACCACCCAGACATCTGCCGCTACAGCCGCAGAAAACTTCAACGCAGTTTGACCTCAAATTGGGTTTTATCCTCCAGGCCACAAGTTTTCAAAACTGCCTTTTAGAAATCCGTCGTCAGTCAGCAGACCACTGAGGGAACTCCTGATATCTGAGCTGTCACTGGAAATAATTTATCCTAAGGGAATTCACGAAGACCCTGGGGTGGAGAAGACTCATGTGAGACGCCCTCACACAGAATGTCACCTAGACCAGCCTGGTGCTAAGACTTCTGTGCTTCTTCCACTGTAGTCAGGCTCGAGAGCAAAGGCACAAAGCCAAGCTCAGCGCAGGTTTCACAGAAGACTAACGCAGAAGCTACAATGAGGCATAATCTAGGGACCAAAAATGATGACCCAGTCAAGTCAGCGTGTATGTTCTGCTTTCTCACAGGGTAACTGCAGTTTCCACTCACGTGAAGTATGCTGCTGCCTAGCCCGCTGTCTAAGTACCCAGTAAATTAAGCCCTTCCTTCTCCACATTCCTAGAAAAGTAAAGTTAGTCCTTGAACCTCGAAAGTACTATATATATATAATTAGTATTTCTGTCAGTGTCCTTGTCAGCATGATTCAGAACTGCTCTCGAGTGCCTTCTCGTTTGTAAAATAAACACTATGCTGTTTGAAGCACACACGAAGCTTCATTTCTGTTCAGTGCTCTTTACTTTCCATTATGAAGAGTCATTTCTGAGGAATTGAAACCCCAGAAGGTAACAGCCCCCCAACAGAAAAAGAAACATTTAAAACAAAATTTTAAATGACAGATCAAAACCAGACTTGAGTAGTATTGAAGAGACAGACGGGAGCAGACATGGTCTCCAGAGGGAATCGTTCTAATTATTATCTAAAAAGTAAAGTCACATAACTTTGTCAAAGTCATAAGGTAAATTGGTACTTGAAAATTAGGTTAACTAAACAGAGGAGGGGAGATTTAAAAAGGAAAAGAAACCCACTGAAACAGGATAATGAGAGGGATTTCAGAACGGCTGGAGCACAGAACCATCAGTTCTCGATGCTTCTGGGGCCTCAGCATCTTCTCTTGCGCTGCTTCTTGTCCCCACCGTCTCTCTCAAAGAACTAAATAATCTCTGCTATTTTGTTAGGATTCAGAATTTCAATCCAGTAGCCGTCAGGATCTTGAATGAATGCCAGACCTTTCATTTTACCTGTATAATGAAAACTTCTCATTACTAGAAAGGAACATTAAAAATCAAACACATTTTCATTACAATTTTAATCTGCATTTGAATGAGACACATTGTTGATAGCTTTCATTCTAGAAAGTTTGTGTTATAATGGTACCATGGCTATCCTAATGCTAGAATGACCTTCCAGAAGGAGCTGAAAACAGTCTTGCTAAGTATCAGGTCCTTGCCTCACCTTGAGGCTACCATACCACCAATCACAGAAATTATTTAAGAAGGAAAAGAAGATAGAGGTATGCTCAAGGGAACAGATAATGTGGCCTCTACACACAACCAAGACACCAGAGGCTTGGGTTACGTAAACCCCATTAAACAATACACTAAGCAACCCAAGCCCTGTCAATCACACTGTGACTCCTGGGGATTGTAACCAGATGGAGCTGTTTACTCAGATGTATAAATGTGGCCTGAGAGATTGATTTATGTGGGGACTAAGATGCTGAACCCATCTGACTCTCGCATCTGCCTCCTGACCCCAAGGTCACGGAATACAAATCAGGGTGAAAGAGAGAGGGTAAAACACAGCTAAGCAATCTCCAGGGCTGTGGCTGAGGAGGAATGGATGAGGACACAGGTTCCCTGATCCATACAGAAAGTAGTTTGGAGTCAGAACACAAGTTCTGAATTTGTGGCTGTGGGAGAATAAACAGGGTTCTTGCTTCTGCCTCCCCAAGGCAAGCAACACCCACCCTGGCACTTGGGAGGGGCTCAGCTACTGATTGCCAGATGTCCTCAAGAGTGAAGGGGGACACAGTTTGTCTAACGAGGAAGCTAAGAAGACTAAACCAGCTGGCCTTCCTTAGTGCTCCCCACACATTCAGGGCCAAGCACGACAACCTCAGGGGTGTCTCCTACTAACACTGCTTTGCCCTGAGGGGGGAAAGTCCCTAAGCAGAAGAGCTGTCATTTTCAGTACCCAGGAAACTCAGCCCAGGGCTCATCAGCCTGTCTTCTTGCGATCACACAGATCCCTAGGGACAATTCTGCCAGTCACATGGGCTGGTGGATTACAACAGCTTACAGTTGTTGGGAAAAATAGCTCAGAAGCTAAACTAATATAATCTAGGAACATAATTATATGGATTATAGATTCAAATTCAACATGAACTATTAGAACGAGTGGACAAAGGGTTATTATATAATATATATATTATAATAAATGAGTTATTAAGGCATGTGACAGCACTATGAAGTGTTGCCAATGTGAACTAAGACTAAGAAAATGTTAGGAGCCAAGAAATGGAGCCAGAAACAAAGCCTCCAGCAGAGAGCGGGACTGACAGGAAATGGCAAAAGCATTTGCTGTGCAATCACGAGGCCTGAAGTCTGGATTCCCAGAACCCCCTGAGAAGGCGGCAGGTGGGCAAGCCTGGTGGCTACCCGTTACCCCAGTGTGAGGGCTGGGGCTGGGATCTCCAGGGAGCTCACCCTGCCTTATTAAATAAAGTGGAGAGTATTCAAGGAAGATGCCCACTGTTAACTGAGGCCTACACACAGGCACACACTCCACACACAGACACATACAAAGGGAAAAAAGACGAAAAAATCAGAATAGACACATGTGAGGGAAAAGTAGCTGGTAAGTCAGAAAGCTCCCAGAAATAAATAAGGAGGAGACACTGACAACATTCTCAAGGACACTAGTATGCAGAATGACAGTATAGTAGTGTTTTCAGAGGTGAAGGAAAACGAGCCTAGGATTCCCAAAAGAACTCATCCATCTGTGTCTGGTTCCCATGCATGTGTCTCAGAGGCCTAACCTCACAAAACCTCAGAACACAGTTCTGGGCGAGGTGCTAAGACAGGAAAATCCAAAAGATGCTTCAAGAGAGAAGTGGAGCGAAGATGTTCAAAACACTGTACTACGTTACTTTTGAAAAAATGTAAAGGCATAGGAAGGAAGGAAGGAAGGAAGGAAGGAAGGAAGGAAGGAAGGAAGGAAGGAAGGAAGAAGGAGAAAAAGAAAACCACTGACCTAGTCTAGGTGGCAGCAGCTGATGTGAGCAGAGACGAGAGTTGCTCACTTACTGAGGGGATCCCATAGGACATGTTGTCCTTCAAACAATTTTACTAAAATGTCTTGTTTATTTTTCTCTGGGTTTTTGTTATGTATTTGGTTGGTTGGTTTTGGGCTTTTTTTCTTTTTTCGTTTGTTTGGATGGTTGGTTTTTTGGTGCTGGGCTGAACCTATGACCCAGTGCAGCTAGGCAAGGGCTCTAACGAACTTCTTACTGCTTAAGCTGGTGAAATGTCTCAAACTGCGGTGGCACACTACAATGTCAGTAACTAGGAGGCTGAAAAAAGAGAATCCTAAGCTCACGAGCAGCCTGGGCTACATGGCAAGAAACTATTTCCCAAGTTAAAAAGAAATTTTAAAAAATTAGGAAGGTAAGAATAGATCTAAGAATAATAGTGATACATATAAATCCAACACAATTCAGATATATGCTATTTCAAGACATATACCCAAAGCATAGCATATACAATTGTATAAAAGACTGAAAAATATCAGTTATTCACTAAAGTAAACTGACAAAGTTATATTGACAACAAAATAAACTTCAGAGAATTCATTTAGGAGCAACTACCTACACCCTGAAATCCTGAAAGCTGGAAGCCAATGAGAGACAGCAGCAGGGCTAGGGAAGGGGAGGTGAGGTCCCATGGCTCTCCAGGTCCTGGTGAAGCCACACTATATGTTCTCTCTGGTCTCTTAAGAGAGCCAGGTATTCTCTTCAAGTTTCTTTGCTCCTAGGACCACTGAAACAGCTTCCTGTTACTTGCATCCAATCAGCATGGCCCTCAGACATATTAACCAATCACAGCTGTGGTGCAGAGCAGACTGACCAATCACAGTGCACATAGTGAGGTGCAGGCTGACCAATCACAGCTATACACACGGTGAAGGGTGGGTTGACTCACCATCATCGGGTTTCTTCACAAACTTGACCCCCAGTTCTTCAAACCTTTTACAGGCACTGTAGACATCAGGAACGGCAATCCCAATGTGACCTTTGGTGATACCATTCCCCAAAAAAACAAAGCACGGAAAGAAATGATTATAAGAGTACACCCACATGCTGCAAATGGCTTCCAAAACTTACTTCAAAACACAAGGCCTTTGGAAACAGTTAAATAGGTTCAAAATCTATATAGTAAAGGACCAATAGCTGTCTGACTGGCTAGTCATTGTCAAATAGTTGTTGTGAATTATTATTTGAAACAAACCAATACTGACTAATGCATACTTCAATCTGTTTAGATAATCTATACCCGAAAGGTTATCAGTTACTCATGTTTAGTAGATTAACTGTAGACGGTCACTACATTTCCCAACTCAAGCTTCTATTCTGCCACTAAGACAAGATACATATTTTTAGATTTATTTTATTGTATATGCACTATGTGTGCTCCTGATACCCACTGAGGTCAGAAGAGGGCATCAGATGCCTTGGAACTGGAATTATGGATGGTTGTAAACCACAATGTGGGTGCTGGGAACCAAGGCCAGGTCCTCTACAAGAATAGCAAGTGTTCTTAACCACTGAAGCAGCTCTTCAGCCCTTGACAAGACACTGCCAGAAAATGGGATGATTACTAACCACGGTCATCATTATCTTTAACTGAACACTCTCCTAGAAGGAGAGGGAGGGCAGCATAGAACGCTTGCCTGGCATGTGTAAGGCTGTGGACTCTCTTCCTAGCCCTACAATAAAGCTTACTGGAAACATAACACTGTGACTTTACAGCATAGTATTATGAGAAAGCAAACACAATGTTTGGACCAATACTGAAAATAGATAGCTGCTGAATAAGATCTGCAGCAAATAAAAATAATCACATCCCTAATAAATTAATTATACTTGAAAATTAGGTCATTTGTATCTTAGGTTTACTAAACCATAAATATGTATACCATGTAAAATCATACACACCCACAGACACCATACAATGGGGCAAACATACCAAATCCCCGAGGGTCTGAGTTGCCATTGTGGTAACTCTGGGTCTCATCGTCTTCGGTGCCCCAGTTGCTGCAGAGGGAAGGACTGTGTTAGCAGGCTGTAACTGTCAACCTGGGGGACTTAAAACCCACCTGGAAGACACATCTTAGGGTGTGTCCTCAAGTGAATTTTCTGAGAAAAAAGACCCGCAGCCAACACAGCCAACATCTTCCAGCTGTCCTGCATCTATTGCTGTTACTCTCAGCTGATAACAGACTCCAGCTTGTTGGCCTTCTAGGGAGCTCCGAGGCCTTCCACGCCAGTTTAGGACTGCTGAGCATCTGGCTTTGTGGATGGAGCAGCTACTGGGCTCTCTGCTTCCCCAGTGTTCAGAGAGCCATTGTTGGGACTACCCAACCCCTACTGTGTAAACCAATCTAATAAATTTCCTTTTATATCTACATTCTATTGGTTCTGTTCTTCTAGAGAAGGAGGCTTGCATAAGATAGTAACTTGCAGTTCCGACCTTAGAATAGCCTATGAAAAGGGATCGCCCCGAAGGCCTCTGCATGCATGCTACTTTACTGCAAATACTGATTTTTTTCGCCTGCAGGAAGGACAAGCTGGCGAAGAAAATCCTAACTAGGTTAAGAAGATGGTCGAGTCAGCACCCAGATAAGAGCAAGAGTAAGAGCTGCAGCAACTCTCATTTCCTGCACTAAGTTCTAGATGTGTCATCAAGCATCATACAGCTCCATGGACCAGAGCTGAGCATTTCCATTCTGGAGACGAGACAGTCGGCCACTTAAGCAAGTGTTTCTGAACCAAAGGATACATACTAACACAGAAAGAAATGGGGAGTCCTTTAATTCTGTTCTTTTAAATGTTGAGGTTATAAAAGTACTTTAAAATTTGAATGTTGGGGCCAGGTAATGGTGGCGCCTACTTTTAATCTCAGCACTCAAGAGGCAGAGGTAGGCAGAGCTCTGTGAGTTCGAGGCCAGTCTGGTCTACAGAGCGAGTTTCAAGACAGCCTCCAAAGCTACACAGAGAACCCCTGTCTCAAAAAACAAAACAAAAAACCAAAACCAAACAAACAAAAAATTATTACAAAATTATGTGCTGGTTCTTTAAAAGGAACATATTCTATAACATTTCTGGATCAAAAGCAGTAATAAAAGGACAAAAATATGACTATCAGAAGATTTTAGGAGAATCTGTAAGTTATAAAATTAGTAATCTATAGTTTGGCAAATATCTGGCCAATTCAGGGTCTTATATTCTCTAAAAGAAAAATGTTTCTCTCTGTCCAAAGAAACCATAAGAATAACACAAAGACCCAAATATTTAAAAATAACAAAAATATTAAAAATTGATTTAGGGGGCTGGAGATATGGCTCAGCTGCTGGAAGCACTGGCTGCTCTTCCAAAGGACCGGGGTTCAATTCCCAGAACCCGCATGGCAGCTCATAACTAACTGTAACTTCAGTTTCAGGGGATCCGACACTTTCACAGACATACATGCAAGCAAAACATGAAGGCACATGAAATTTACATATATACAATCTGACTTAGAATGGAAACCACCAAAAAAGATTCTTTAAAAATACCTTATGAAAAATTAGGATCTATAAAGAGACAAAGGCTTATACGCACTGTGTCAACTCAAGCGTGGCTTTTCTGGAAAATGTCCAAGCTGTTCTCTCACTCTTGTCTTTAGGGATGTCATTCTTATCCTCATAAGCCAAGAAATAGAGGGAAAATTTCATCGAAGGAAAATCAAGCTTTTGGAGTAGCCTGAAATTAAAAGCCATAGTCATTTACAATAGCAAAGGCTGGTAATAAGCTTAACATAATATTCAAGTTCTACCAGGAATAAGGGCCATATGCAATGTAGTTACTTTGGTGAGAAAACTATGGGCAAAAATTAGTGGGAAAAAAATCTCATTTATAGCTCCATCTATAAAGTGCTTGCCGTGTAAGTATATGTATGTATAAGTGGGTCCCCATAACACATGTAAAAAGCCAGAAGTGATGATGTGTGCTGGCAATAGTCGCATTGGGAAGGCAGAGACAGGCACACTCCAGGGGCCTGCTGATCAGCAAGTTTAGCAGGTGCCAATGAGGGGCCCTGTCTCAAAAACCAAAGTGGTCAGTTCCTGAGAAACAGCACCCAAAGTTGACCTCTGGCCTTTATACATGGTATGTCCCCTCTAGCGCACGTGTGAATACACACACACACACACACACACACAAAGTAAAATAAAAAGTTCTGAGAGCCAAGGAGGCATTGAGTCAAAGGGTCAACTGGGTGAAGAGCATTGTTGTGTATTGTTGACATGAGCGTGGCCATGTCAAGGACCAATGCTCATACGTGGGAAGAGAAGAGCGCCCCGACACACTCCTAAGCTCAGGCGGACCAAGTGACAACAATGCTCCTTTAGGATGCCTGAGACTGCTGCCTCCAGACACCTCCTACTGAGACCAGCCCACCCTTGCACACAGGTAGCTGGGACCACTCAGAGGGCTGAGAGAGACCACCTGACCCCAGCTTTTCTGTGCCCATGTAGCAGTTTCTTTAGTGTCTGTTCCTTCCTCACTCCTTTGCCACCCCTAGTCCAGGTTTGAATGTACCGAGGTGTGAGGCGCGAGGTTCTGTAATTCATCTATTTTTTCTCTGTTTTATTATTTTGTGAGACACACCCGAACTCACTAGAAAGCGCCAATTCACCCATCCCCTGCTTCAGCCTCCCAAGTGCTCCACTTCCAAGGATGACTCAGCACAATCATCTCTCAATTATTCAAGTTTAGTGAATTCAGTTAGCATCACAGTGCTTATCTACAAACAGGGAAAGATATTTTAGGTTTGGGTTTCAGTGAACAACAACTTTTCCTGATATTCTTTCAGTTAAACACATCTACTGCTCTTCAAAAGCACCCAGAAAGGAAAAGGAGGTCAGGTGGCAGAAGAGAAGGGCAGATTAATATCACAGACAAGTGAATGTCTACAATAGGAGGCTAAAGTCTCAAATACTGCAGAAAGGTGAAACAGGATTAAGACTGTGAAAAGATCACATGACATGGGACATGGGAAGGCCCTGTAGGAGCAGCTTCAACATGGCCAAGAAGCTGACGCAGGGCCGGGAGGAAGGCGGGAGTCAAGCAAGAGAGCAGCCAGCAGAGCCTCCGCAGACCCGCTGCAGAGAGAGTGACCGTGGACAAACGAGGGTGCAGGGGCAAGAAAGTCTCAAAAGACTTCTGAAGTTTGTTTGTAGGTGGAAGAGAGAAAAAGTGGGTGGGACAAGGAGACTTGATATCAAGGGTGAGGGAGCCCCGAGGCTCTAAAAAGTGAGTTTATCAAGTTGGTTTAAAGAATGTTAGATAGCATGCAAGCAGAGCAATACACATAATACAGAGGATTAATTATGCTCAAAGATGATTCTGTTTGTAATCAAGAGCAAGTACTTGAAGCCTAGCAAAATGTCTTTGTGTGTGTGTGTGTGTGTTTGTGCGCATGCACACATGGGTACACGTACATGGAGTGTACTGTGCATGTAGAAGTAAGAGGCTGACACGGGGTACCCTCTATTGCTCTCCACTGTCTTTCAGTCACCCTCAACCCCAGAGACTGTGTCAGTAAGTGACCTCACCAGGCCTGCAATTGCTAAAGTGGCTAAGATGGCAGGAGATCCACCTGCCCCTGCCTCTGCCTCCTGAGTGCAAGGACAGTCCCAGGATCAGGACTGTATGGATTCCAGAAGACTGAAATCTCCATGCGGTCATGGCAAGCACTTTATCAACTGAGCCATCCCCCTGCACCCAAAGCAAAGTTTCCAAAGTTCTGCTCCAATCTTTTATCTACTTATCCCTGTTATCAATATACCTGGACCACTGGGTGTAGGCATTGATTAACCACAAATAAATGTACTCCACAAAGGATCAAACATCTCAAATAGAAGCATCTGGAAAGCTGTCTCTGCCCCTAACATGACTGTACCAGCCTTAACGCCCTTCAGACGTGAACTGAAGCAAAGGAAGCAGGTTGCTTTCTATAAGACACGAATCAGGTTAGTGTCAAGCTGCGCTCTACCAGGGACTATTTAAAAACAAAGATCAACTGTGGAGCCACCTGCTTATGGTTTCAGCTCTGCCAACTGTGGGGTCAGAGACCAGAAACTTCCTTTCTTCATGTGTAGGAGGACACAAGCTGTCTGCAAGGCCTGCTGCAAAGGCACAAGGGAGTAACTGGGTTTGCGCCTGGCCAATGGTAGGAGTCCAGGGCATTTGCTTTCTCTCTGCGCTTTAAATACGCTGTACGCACAAGAAAGCCACTTTTTCAGCAAAGGATCACAAGAATTTAAGAGCAGTTTAGGGGGAAGGACCTAGAGAAGGAAGTCATTCCTCTTCGTTTTGTATTTTTCAGAACTGATCACATATTCTAATCAGATGTATTACTTGGGCGGGTCTCTTAAAATTTGTGGAAGTAAATGAAAAGCTGTAAATTAAAGATCATTTCATTTAATTATGTGTGCCATCGAAAACCTCATGGTATTTGAGGAAACGAACCAAGAAAAGTCAAATGATCAGTTATACCCCAATAAAGCCAATGGAAAAAGAAAATACAGCATACGAAAATGTTGAAAGAGTTGCAAACCCCGTGGCTACTACCCCTTTAGCAAGAGAAAATGCAGCCCTAAAACTGGAGCCAGGGGCCGGCTGTAAATAAAGCCATTCTTTTTCTAGATAATGCATCCTGCCATTCACGTTTCCCAAGCAAAAGGAGCTAAAAGCAGTCCGAGCATGTCAAGGGTCTAAAGGGACAATGATCTAGACGGCCAGCTCTGGGCAGAAGGGAGGCTGCCGAAAACAAAAGCTTCCTGTTGCCCTTGCGCCTTGACCAGTCCTGCCTGACACAAATGGAACCTAACCAAAGTGCTGTCTAGTTGGCCTCCTTGTAGGCTCCTCAACTAAAGACTTTCTGTTACGAAAAAAGAAAAGAAAAAAAGGTTGGTTTTTTGAAAAAAAAAAAGTTTTAATACTAATTTATTTCTGAGAGGAGGGAAGCACGTGCCATGGCACCGCCATGGAAGGTAGGGGAACTTCGGGGGAGGCAGTTCTCTGCTTCTACTGAGCCGTCTTCTCTAACGCTGTGGTTTTCAACATTAAGACACCAAGAAATACTTACGTCAGTCCAAGAACCCTAGTGTAGAAATCCAGGGACTTCTTAGGATCCTTAATTCTTAGCATGGTTTGCTGCATTAGGAAGTCCTGGGGAGAGACGACAGTGTAGGTTCAGTCTCTAACTTTCCACACTGCGGTGTTCACTGTGCTCTCAACCAGCCCAGCATTGTAAAGCAACCGGAAAACGAGAAAGGCAGCCCCATCCTCAGCCGCAACAGTAGCTCCCTCGAACAGTTCCCTCACCCACTGCTCCACTCCCGAGTTCTCTGCCAAGTGCTGTCCAGTTGCAGGCTTCTGGGTGGGGCAGCTGCGAGCCGGCGGCTTATCATTCCAGCAATGCCCTTCAACAGTGATTTGAAAAACCTGGCTTTCTGAGTCAACTGGGGCTTGGTGGGGCCTTGGTGGTTGTCTTGGTTTCATTTTGGGTTCCAATGGCATTATCTCACATAGTCCACTGTGGCCTCAAACTTGCTGTGTCACCAGCTGGCCCCTGCTTGACCCTCTGGCTTTCACACACAAGTCCTGAGATTATGGGCAAGAGCCACCAGCACCCGCTTTGGCGAGACAATTATGAAATGAAATGACTGACTGCCACATCACCCCCGCACCTCCCTACTCCCACAAGGTGGCAGGAAACAATTTTTTTTTTTGCTGATACTTCCCCACTCCATGGGGCTTCCGGGGACTCTACCTTCCAAATAGACTACTAACGAGTGCATCCTTTCTCTACCTTGATTTTGTGCAACCAAAATTAATTTTATTTGGCATAACAAAGAATCCAACCTCTATAATACACCCCCCCACACCCACACAAGGTCGCATGCAGCTCTGACTAGCCTGGAACTCTCTAAGCAAATCTGAGATAGCCTTAAACTCACAGAGATCAGCCTGACTTCTCCAAAGTGCAGGGATTAAAGGTGTGTGCTACCATACAATACCTGACTCTGTAACTTCACACTCTCACCCTCCCCACACACACACACACACACGCACACGCTCTGCTCTTTTCCCTCAAGACAGTTTCTCTGTGTAGCCCTGGACGTCCTGGAACTCACTCTGTACACCAGACTGGCCTTGAACTCAGAGATCCACCTGCCTCCATATTTTTTTGATGAATGTATAAACACCCTTGCTGAACTACTTAGTGAGAAATGAGGGTCCCCATCCCCAGTCCCCTAGAACCTGATGGCCTGAACAGCTGACCCCTTCCTCCTTCACTTTCTGAGGATTCTGAAAAAACTAGTGCCCGTCCTGCCCCAGGGCGCTTGCCAGTCCTTGCCCTCTGGCAGTCTCTGCAGAAAGAAATTGCCGAGAAGCTACTCTCGCTGTGATCCTCTGTGCCACCCTGAGATTCTGGGTGTCTGTGAATTTACTGGTAACGTGTTAACGGGAAGACCTTAAGAAGGCCTTAGACTCCTAGAGAACCTAGAAGCAAAAATTTAGTGTCTTAATCCTTACTAAAGCCTTCAACTTCTTCAGAAAACAAAAGGCTTACTTAGAAAAAAAGGGAAGGCAATGCATAAATTCATAGGGTTAAAATTATTAATAACACTTTAGTTAGAAGTTGATTTCTTGATACACCATCACTGGCTCAATTTTTTGAGTCAAGCTGGACTAGAATTCACCAGGCAGCCAAGGATGACCTTGAACTGCTCATACTCCAGACTCCACCTCCCAAGCGCTCCCAGTGCTGGGAATCAAACCCCAGGCCTCCTGTGCACTAGTCAAGGAAGCTACACTCCCAGCCCTGATAAAATAGTCTGAAGTGTTTATATGTTTGAGTATTATCTCCATTTTATAAATGAGAAGCCAGCACTGAGTACATTCATTATCTAACTCTTGTTAATCCAGGTTTTCTTTTGCCACAGGCACTTCCTACAGTAATCAGTGTTATTCTTCTGTACTTGTAGGTTTAACACAACAGGCCTGAAAACACCCATCATCCTTCCCTTCTGCAGCTTTGATAGCTAATGCTGCAACTCCACAGGCTCTAGAATCACCATGGGGCAAGCCTCTGGGCACACCTGTAGGGGATTATTTGGATTAGGTTAGTATCCAGGCATGCATGAGAGAGGGATTTAGGGGTTATCTTCTCTCTCTCTCTCTCTCTCTCTCTCTCTCTCTCTCTCTCCCTCTCTCTCTCTCTCTCTCTCTCTCTCCCTTCCCTCCCTTCCTGTCAGGGTTTCTTTGGCTGTCCTAGAACTTGTAGACCAAGCTGGCCTCAAACTCATAGATCCACCTGCCCCTTCCTCTAAAATGCTGGGATTAAAGGCCTGCTCCACCACTTGCCCATCTTTTCTGGTCTCGTTTTGGTTTGGTTGGGATTTTGGTTTTGTTTTCTCCCAGAGCTGAGGACTGAAGCCAAGGCCTTCAGCGCTCTACCACAGAGCTAAATCTTGAGTAGGTTAATCAAAGTGGGGATTCCCACCATAGATATAGGTGGGACCATTCCATGGGATTGGGTCCTGGACTGCACAAAAAAGAAAGCTAGCTAAGCACAAACAGTTCCCATTCTCTGATTCTTGGCTGTGGCTGGAATGTGACCAGCCACTTCAAGCTCCTTCCACCATGACCGCTCCACCGCAATGGCATGTAACTTGAACTGCAAGTCAAACTAAGTCCTTTTCCCCAAGTAGTTTTATCACAATGAAAAAAGTAGTCCCTTCGTCCACTGTGAAGATTTGTCGCTGTGACTGGTTTAATAAAGAAGCTGACTGGTCAACAGCTGAACAGGGTGAGGTTAGACAGGAGAATGTTGGGAAGAAGAAGGGCAGAGTCTGAAGTAGCCAGCCAGACACACAGGAAGCAGGAGATGGATGCGCCATGTTGATAAAGGTACTACCACATGGCAGCGTGTAAATAACGAATATGGGATAACTGAAAATGTAAGAGCGAGTTAGTAATGAGCCTGAGCTATTGGCCAAGCATTTATAATTTATATTACGCCTCTGAGTGTCTATTTGAGAGCAGCTGCGGGACAGGAAAACTCACTCCGCCCACAAGTAATGCTCCGGCCAAACAGTCTCTTCCCCCTAACTTACATCATATAAAACGCAAATACACTATACATTGTCTATCATGAAGAAGTGATATTAAAGAGCACTTAAATTCACTGTTCATCCTAAAATGGGGTCACCTAAAATATCAAGATGGACACACCCTGTGGGACCCAGGCCCTTAAGGGAAATGAAAACTGAATGTTTTCCACTTCTCAGAAGTGTGCTGACCCCTCTCAGAGCAGAACAGCTTGCCCACAGCCTCCTGCTAACAGCACAGGGCTCCCCATTCCACAAAAAACTTTGCTTACTGCAGTCCCTTTTGCCTGTGAGAATTCCTTTGTCCTTACCACTCTCCTGTCCAATTAAAAGCACCCTATAAAACTGCAAACTCATTTTTGGTGATGTTGCATTCCTTTCTCCTGGGGACAGCTGGGCAGTTCATACCCTGAGCTGAGCATCAGTGCAGCTCTTGTGGTCTGCTCCTCTCCCTACACCACACAGTACCCAGGGAAAAGGCTCAAGGTTCCATTTTTCTGGACCTACGCAGCCTTTTCAAACCCAAGGCCGCCCTCCCCTTTGTCAGGAGAGCAATGAATGGCTCCCCAGCCAGGCACCTGACCACCTGGCTCTGTCCTCTGAATACAGCCATAAAGACACCTACAAAGTCACTCTGACTACAGCGAAATGAGAAACAACCAATTTCAGACCTTTTAACAAAGCAGCAAGACCACTTTCATGCCAGTTGCTGGTCTAAGCAGAGACTAAAACAAGATGCTCAAACTATAGCAGGCATCTCCCTCTCCCAACGAACATGAGTGCCTGCTGCTTCTCTATCAATTACTGGGCTTGCGTGTGGGGATGCCAAGTCCACTGAGATGCTGATGTGTGCTCTTTCAGGCCACACAGTGGTAATCTCAAAGGCTGTCCTTGGCAGGCCTCATCAGAGAAAGCCAACCTCCCACACTAGGCTGGTGAATCGCCACTACAACCCCTGGGGGGAGGGAAGGCTGGCAGACCCAGTTAGCTCTAAACATGGTCCAGATTATTTCATCAAACATTAACTTAGGTTCTACCGTAAGGGACTCTGAGAATGGAATTAACTAACCAGATGGCCTTAAAATAGAGACTGGGGTTGGAGAGACAGCTCAGCAGTTAAGGGCACGAGCTGTTCTTGCAGAGCACCTGGCTTCAGTTCCCAGCACCCCACGCTGGGTAGCTCACAACTGGAATTCCAGCTCCAAGGAATTCAACACCCTTTCTAGACTCCACAGGCACTTACGCTTACATGCGCATACCCACACACAGACATGCTGACACATACTTAAAATATTAAAAAACGGGGGGTAGGTAGGTAAACAAACCTCAGCTGGGTAGGTGGTTCATGCAATCACATGAGATCTTAAAAGCATCAGAAGACAGAAGGGTTGGCAGATATGGTGAGGAGGGGTGTGGCTGCAGGGATGTCAGAACGAGTAAACTGTAGGGGCTGCCTGAGAGACAGACCCCCATTTTGGCCACTGGCAACCAGTAAGAAAACGGGGGTGTCGGTCCAACCTCTGAGAGGAAATGAGATGAGACGATAGCCGCAGTGGGAGGCAGATGCCTCTCTGGAGCCTCCAGTAAGGATGGAAGCTCCGCCCATACCCTGAGTTTAAGCCCGTGGGATGCTTGTCAGACCTCTATACAGCTGTGAGGTCATACACTTCTTGTATATATGTAGCCTGTTCTTGTGCAATGTGTGTCCATGCCTGTGGGGGCCAGAGGACAAGATGCTGCTAGAAACTGTCCACCTGGGGCTCCCAGAGAGATCCAGGGATCCACCTACCTCTGCCTCCTTCCTGCTGGGCTTACAAAGGCACAGCACATGCCAGGCCTTTGTTTTTTTACAAGGGTCCTGGGGATTGAACTCAGGTCTCCCAAGCTGCATCCAACATTATTGCTCCTCTTTTTAGTACTACAAGGCATTCCTTTTCTCATGAAAAGGGAGGAAAAACACACATATACGAGAGGAGTTGTCTGTTTATTTATTTACTCTGAGTTGGCAATAACATGGCTCTACAATTGTGGCGCTGAGAGTTGTTACTTTCC